TTTTCTTTTTTTGTCTTGCCCCTCCCTCGTAAACTTGTTTAAGGGAGTTCGTTTGTAGGGGGACTTTTCGGAGTTAAGCGGCATAAACGAATTGTAAGATAAAGTAAACTTAAAGTGAAAAAAACATGAAACATTTGAAGAAAAACAAACTGACGCCCCCTTCCCTCTGCGGAGAGGGATACTAAGAGACTTCCAGCGGGGGTTTCAATCTCTCGCTGTGTGTGAGGTGTTGGGATGTGCTACGAATGATAGTGGCGGCTCCTGTCTGTCTGTTTCTATGTGCGGCCTCTCGTCTTTTGCGCTTTTTTGCTTCCCCCTGCGTCCCCCGCAGACGGCTTCTCCGCCTCTCTCTCCTTTTCTTTGGTGCTGCTTCTAGGACTAGGCGGCGGCGGCGGCCGTAGAGGCGCGGCCTTAGCGCATAGCTGAACTATGATGAGATCTGAGGCAGATACGGGTTAGGACCCTACTCACTGCTTTCTTTGTTTTTTTTTTTTGGGAGTGAGGGGGGATGGAGTATCGCTGTGGCGTAAGCACCGATGGAGGCGGCTAGACGCATGGGCGTGCCCCGCTGCGTGCGTGAGCCCGTCGTTGCATTTCTTTCCCTTAACGCACAAATATAAAGGAGAAAAAGAAAACGATATGAAAAACAAAATATCAGTATCGATTTTTGATGATTCTTCTTCTTGTTTGTTTGTTTGTTTATTCCAGCGGCCTTTTCCTCCGTACATTGTCGTTGTTGTTTTTTGCTACGCCATGGATGCTGTTGTGTGTGTGTGCGCGCGCGCCCAGGTTAATCTCTGCGAATAACAGCAAACCCGGCAGGTAAGAAGGGCAGTTGCAACTAGTTGCGGATACAAGGGAATAATAAGAGAACAGGCAAAACAGTGAAGCCATGCAGGAATTTCACGCCTTCGAGGTGGTGCCCGGTAAGGAGTACACCCTGGCGCTGCCGCCACTTCACGGCTTTCACCTCTCCGTCGTGTCGATCCCGCATGCAGGCAAGGGACGCAGCACACTGTACGCGACGGTGGACGGCAAGTCATACGCCATTGCGACTCTCGATGCGTCTCAGAGCATCCTTCAGAACGCGACCGATCTTATCTTTAATGAGGCACAGAAGATTGTTTTCCGCGTCAAGGGGAACGCGACACTGCATTGCTGCGGCTACCAACAGGAGCTTGACGCCGCCCTCCAAGGCGCCGGGGACAGCGACGAGGAGGAGGAGGAGGATGATGAGGAGGGTGCGAACGATTTGCCCGTGAGTGACGAGGAGGCAGAGCTGCGGGGACAAGACCCGACGCAGGCGCCGCAGAACGGCCACCACAAGGAGGAGAGTGAGAGCGAGGGAAGCGAGGAGGGGGAGGAGGGAGAGGCGAAGGCGGCCCTGGACGCGGCTGACGATGAAGAGGACGATGAAGCCGAAGAAGAAGACAAAGAAGATGAGGCGCACGATGAGGAAGGTGAGGGCGAGGAGCAGCCGGTGAAGCGTGCCAAGACAGAAGAGGCTTCCCAGGCCCAAAGGAACTCGCAGCAGATGCAGAGCCCTCAGGGCCGTCCCAGCAATCAGCAGAAGCAGAGCCCTCAGGGCCGTCCCAGCAATCAGCAGATGCAGAGCCCTCAGGGCCGTCCCAGCAATCAGCAGAAGCAGAGCCCTCAAGGCCGTCCCAGCAATCAAATGAAGCGTGGCCGTGAATAGATGAGGTGTTTGTGTCCCTGCCGTCTTGATTAGCTAAGCAAATATACCCAGTTAAATTTATTTCTCTGGGATAAGTAAACATGGTGGAAACTTCGTCTCACTTATGGAGGAGCCCGCGTAACGGTCTGGTAGTATTCAATTCAGGTGGGTGCAATACACCGAAGGCGGGGCCATGCATACGAATAAAAATGGAAAGCACACAAAAGAGAGGGGGAAATAAAAAGAAATCTTTATATACACACATGGAGACTAATTCTTCTTACCCATTTCTTAAGGTTCTGTGCGGTTGTGACCGGGTGCTTTGGTGTCTCACAGTACACGCCATGAAAGATAATTGAATTATGTTTGTGCGGTGCCCTCTATTCCTTTTTTATTGGTTGATCTCTCTTTGCGCGTGTGCGTTGAACCGTCCGTTGGATTTCATCGTTGCGGTTGCCTGCTGTGCGGCAGGTATTTTGTCCTTCTCTTCATTGCCTTTTTTTTTTGGCGTGTGCGCGTGTGCGTGCTGCTCTGCCATAGTTCTTGGGTTGCGTGTTGCAGTTTGTGGTGCAGGAGAGAGAGGAGGCGCAACCGGCTTCCATGACGGAGCTCGTGAACCCGAACCCCACCGTCTTTCGCGGCTCCCTTCACCATCCCCCGCGGCGCTCTGCGGAGGAGTTGCTGCAGGAGCGGGACGACGCCCTTCGCGACCCCATCGACTCCCTGGAGGTATTCCATCACATTCGCAACATACGTGACCCTGAGCATCCCAACACCCTCGAGGAGCTGAAGGTCGTGGAGCCGGAACTTATTGACGTGGACGAGGCGAGGCAGACGGTGCGGGTGCAGTTCACCCCCACCGTCCCGCACTGCAGCATGACGACGCTGATTGGCTTGTGCATCCGTCTTAAGCTGCAGCGTTCACTGCCGCGTGGGACGAAGCTGGACGTGTGCGTCGCCCCCGGCTCGCACGAGCAGGAGGAGCAGGTGAACAAGCAACTGAAGGACAAGGAACGGGTGGCGGCGGCGCTGGAAAACAAGAATCTTCTGAGCGTTGTGGAATCGTGCCTGAACGAGTTTGAGTGAGGGAGGCCCACTGAAGGGTTTTGAGAACATGTGGGCGAGAGTTTTTCTGCCTTTTCCTCTCTGTTTTATGTGTTTTTCCTCTTGGCGGATACACGTGTGTGCAGTCGCTGGTTGGCAGGAAGCGAGGGCGAGAAGGAAAGCGAGCGAGTGAGAGAAGGCCGTGTATCCCCGCCGCGGCCTGTCTTCTTCTTCCGTCTCTCTTCCCATTGCTGCCGTTTAACTGCCACTCTGCGGTGCTGCCCCGCCGCAAACTTCACCGACTTCTTCTCGTGCTTCATCCCCACTCCCACAAACGTACTTGGCCTCTTGCTTTTTCTTCTTCTTCTTTTCGCTTTTTTTTCTGCCGTCTGTAGAAGCGTAGGCACAGAGGTCCTCACCTCACTCTCATTTTTACTTTAATTGAGCTTTTTGTCTTGTTTGTTGTTTTCTCGGGTTTGTGTTTGACACACCGACACACATACACGCACACACACGCACACACACACACACACACACACAAAGAGAGACGCACATCCCGCCGTACGGTTATTGCGAGCGGTGTGACATATATATATATATATATAGTTTTCCTCCTTCTGTGCGTTTGTGTCTGTGGTTGTCTGTTGTTCATAAATAGAAGGGTACACAAAGCGTCAGCTCTTGCGTATATTTGTCTGTCGATATATATTTCCCCCACCGGGAGGAAGCCAACTGCGGGGGTGCAGGGGAGAATAAGGCGGCCAACTAACGAGCGAGGAAGGACTCCGTCTTTATTTTTCTTTGCCTGAAGGCAGAGGAAGTCGGTGCGTGTGCGGGCGTGCGTGTTTGTTTCATCCGCCAGTGTGTTGTGTCGTGACTGTGACGCCGCAGAACACGACTCAAGCTAGAGGCCAGCTTTTTTTTTGTGTGTGCGTGCTGTTGTTGTTGTTGTTGTTGTTTGACTTGTGTAGGCTCCCACGTTGATTTCTGTACATCGAAACCCTCCCCCCGGGTCAGCAACAGCGGCGGCAGCGAGAGAAGAGGAGGGAAGTAAAAAAAAAGAAAGAAAGAAAGAAAGAACGTGGGTCGTAATAGAGAAGAAAAAGGGTGTGTGTGCGGTCGGCATCGGCATTCAGCAGCAACACCCAGACAAGGAACTGTACGGAGACCGGGCAGCTGGGAAAACAACATTCCCGCCGTCTGACTCTTAGAAGGTGCAGAGTAACATACCACCACCCGCGGTTTCACTGCCGCCGTTGCGTGGTATAAAAGTGTCTTGGGGAGTCTTTAACGTCTCAGGCGTCTTTTATTATTGTTGTTTTCCGAGGCTTTGTGCGCTTCTTTCCGTGTGCGACCCACACCGCCGTGCCCCGACAGGGTCTAATATATATATATATATATATAT